TGAATCTCCCCAAAATTATGGAGACTTGTCCAACCTTCAATTGACCCAGTCAGACTCAAACAAAACAACACTTCTCCCATCCTTCCACCAGATGTAATCCCACAATCTGCTTTCAGTCAGACAACAAACTTGAAACTGACATTACCCATACATTCCTTTATTTAAGTCTGGTTTAAATCTTGAAAGTCAAACTCAAAGTCAAAGTAAGGGTACACGCAGTATACTTAGTCAAACATAGCAAGAGATACAAATATGGGTTATAACAGGGTTTATAGAAGGAAAGCAATGGTTACCTTTCAGTTCCCTGCCCCCAGAACCCCTCCTGAGTTCCGGCAGAGCTCTCGCAATCGGTGGGCCGACTCCCCATAGAGTCTTGCTGCGGTCCTACGGGTTGCAATCCCGCCTGCCGCCTTCCTCTCAGAACAAGATTAGACTTAGAGTAAGAAGGGCAGAAGTAAGGGATTCAGACTTTCGAGATACAAGAGAGGGACAAACTCGATTCGCAGGAGAGGGCCTTGATGTCTTGGTGCGCCTGACGGCCCCGCAATGGCAGTCAAATTGCGCAGTAGCCTGGTCTACTGAAGTCAAATCGTTGAAGCAACCATTTTTGACGAACTCCCAAGTTGCAGCATTGACCCCCTTCAACGAGCTCAATCTCTCCACCACTCGTGACTCAAAGTAGATTGACCACAACTTCAGCACACGGGTTGTGGGTTAAACTATAGTCTTCTCCCATTCCATAGTGGAGCAACACGCAGCCTAGCTAACTCTGTAACGGGCGGAGTCTGCGTGGATACAGCCTATGTAGTCCTCACCAATCCTCAACAAGCACCCTACTTACTGTCGGGCTCATACCACTTCAATCGGCAGTATGGGCAGCACACTAGCCAACAGATGACCTTCGCCCCACGGCTGGTCCCCTCGCCCTTTTGATTGATGGAATGGGCAACGTGTCAGCTAACAACTAGACCAACAACACTGCAGTTAGCGTGCAGTTACTCTATTTGATACGGTGGGCAGCCCTCCGACCGGTAGATAAGTCTCCAAAGGCTGCGGGGCATGCCGACCAGCCTTCAAGTTCGCAGCTAGGCAGCTCTCCTTGTGGTTGCTTCAATTGGTGAGATGACAACCCGTCATCCGCAGGCCTGTCCCCAGCCTAGCGCAACGAATCAACGCAACACAATTCGTCCTGATGTGCAACATGCCGGGACCCGTCAACAGGTAAGTCTCCACCCTCTGTGGCTAGCTCTCAGCCACTTCTTTTGACAAGCTAAGCAGTCTATCGGTCAGCGGTGGGTCTGCATTCTTACTCTCGATCTTCGTGATCATAGCTATGCCCCGGCCAACAGCCAAACCTGCCACCGTGTGGCCAGCCTCACTCGACTGTCACTAATAGGATGGGCAACACACGGACCCATAGGTAAGTCTTCAACCATCACGACTCGCTCCTCGTCGTTTCGAACGCTTTGGCTAAAAAAAATCAGAATAAATCTTATGTTAGAACGCGGGGCTATGCAACCAAATGTTGCCCTTCCCGGCTCCTCTCGCTAGCAGCCCGCGCATTTTGGCACCGTGGCTCGGCTTTCGGTCCACCCGAAATGGCTGCTAATAGCCGCTCCCGCTCGATTGGATGCGAACAGCCCGTCCCTACTCGATTGGTTGTGGACAGGTCCCCCACTCTCTCTCTCTCTCTCTCTCTCTCTCTCTCTCTCTCTCTCTCTCTCTCTCTCTCTCTCTCTCTCTCTCTCTCTCAACCGAGGTCTCCTCCCCGT